GGAAGAAGCATTGAATTTTACCTGTGTGGGGCTCCAAATACATCACATATTCTGGAGGAACCCATCTTCCTCCGCCACATTCCTCAGTGTGAGACACCACTGCCTGTAGTCAGTGGTGTTCGGTGTCTGGAGACAAACCTGCGACATTATGAAAAGGTCAGAAGTGTAGCCTGGTACTGAAGAGAGCATGCCCATTGGCGTGACCTTTCTAGATTTCAGATACTGCGTATTGCGTGAGCACTATTCCGCTTTAAGAAGCCTGCTGTTACGGTGCTGTTGTTTGTCTCGTTTTCAATCTTTACCTTTACTGGTCTGTGAATACACAATTTCTCAGTTATGACAAATGTTTCCTTAACCTGCTCTCACACAATTTTAAGCATTGTATTATGTTTTTTTTTGTCTGAATGTTTCTTTTTTATGCTGGAAATAAGAGCCACAGTAGATATGATCAGATTTTAGTGACTTTGTGAAGATTTTGAACTTTCTAACAGGTGCTAACAGTGCTTGTCTTTTTTATCATTTGTATTTTAGTTGAAATAAGCACTTTCACATGTAGATGCTACCCCACATGTAGACACAGAGAGGGTAAGATGAGTGGGGTCATACAACCTGTCTTCACCCAGTGAGCCTCATTATGAGTTACTGAGGTGTGATCGAGCGCAGGGCTCAACTCAGGCGATCTTGCCTGGCCTTGAAGGATGCCTATTCAACAGGAATTGCTGAGGAATTTGGGATCTTTTACAGTTCTCCTCCTGCATTTTTTTGTGTCAGAAGATAAAGGGAAGGCAATGAATTGGATCAAAAATGAGAACACCCTTACTGTGGAAATAAACTCAGAGTAGAAAACATCATAGAAACATCCAAACCGGAGTCCAGGGTATTTCTGTACAGTTTGCCTGGTACTGCCTAGTTTGGATAACATCATTTGTTGTAGCCAAGCTGAAGTGATGCAGTCTGCGCAGATTCATTGACAGGGTTGCTTCTGTCCTGTTCTTTCTCTGCTGCTAGTAGTTTTTTTATTGACTGGACTTTGTCCTCTCAGTGAATGGTCTGGCTTTTGTTTGCATCCAGCTGTATTCATTGGAAACTCATTATGACTTAGACCTCTCGGTGGTCAGGAAACCTTTGGGCGTCTTTAAAGCTGGGTTATATGACTCACAACCAGAGTCTTGCTTATAGTTCTTATTGACAAAAGCTGAAGAACCAATCGCCTGGAACCAGTTCACATTAAGTGATGACTGGGGCTAAGGTTAATGAAGTGTAATGAATGTAATTCTTCTGAAACTTATCAATAAAGTGAGTGATTCATTGATGAATTACATGGACTTGCTTTTCCTGCCTCTTATCTTGGTTTTAAAGGGAACCTTCATCAACACAGGATAAGGCTTCTGTGTCATTTTTACCTTACCCTTGGTAGTGTATTAAGAGACTAGAGGATACCTAGTCAGCAGCCATATCACTCTGCAACTCACAGCTGACACCCCACTGAAGCTCAGCAGGTGTGAGCCTGGTCAGTACCTGTAGGGGAGACCTCCTGGGAAAATCTAAGGTTGCTGCTGGAAGAGGTGTTAGTGGGGCCAGCAGGGGGCGCTCACACTGCAGTTCATGTGGGTCCTAATGCCCCAGTGTAGTGACGGGGACACTATACTGTAAACAGGTACCGTCCTTCGGATGAGACGTAAAACCGAGGTCCTGACTCTCTGTGGTCATTAAAAATCCCAGAGAGTTTCTCATAAAGAGTAGGGGTGTAACCCCGGCGTCCTGGCCAAATATCCCATTGGCCCTTACCAATCATGGCCTCCTAATAATCCCCATCTATGAATTGGCTACATTACTCTGCTCTCCTCCCCCACGATAGCTGATGTGTGGTGAGCGTTCTGGCGCACTATGGCTGCCGCCACATCATCCAGGTGGGGGTGCACACTGGTGGTAGTGGAGGGGATCCCCATTTCCTGTAAAGCGCTTTGAGTGTCCAGGAGTGTCCAGAAAAGCGCTATATTATTATTATTATTATTATTATAATACCTGCATCTGAAGAACGTTAACAGAATTCATTGTACATACACCCAGTCAGCACATGTCCCAGAGCAGAGATGTGCTGTTTTCCCTACTGGTGAAATTGCTCTTTCTGTGCAGAATTTTACTTTGCCTTTAGTCTTTACTGTCTGAGCTGGTGCTGACTAGTCTCACTGAACTCAAAGCTGCGACTGGGAACTGAACTGATCAGAGGGGGTTTTGATCACATGTACAAAGGAGACCAGGCCTCAAAGCAAAATGAAGTGAAGGGCAATGATTAGCTAACATTGGTGTGTTTTTCAGTGATACACTATGAGGCGCATTAAAGGGATGTAAATGTCGTTCATTGAAACATTTATAGTCTTGCTGTAATAGCTAATCTTGTAATCTTTAAGGCTTTGTTATACTGGCACAGGCTGCATACCTATTCCACACACAGTCCAGGCATGTGCTGCTTGCATTGTGGTTTTAGCCAAAGCTTAAGAATACACTGCAGTAGAACAAATGAAAGAATAAATCCATTGGCTGAACACAAACTCAGCTCCCGTTCAAACTAGTTTTTCAGTATTTACTAAATAATTGACCTATGAGCGTTTCCTGGAACTGTCCTCTCCCAACACCATTGCTCTGCGGCTCTGCGGACTCCCTGTCTCGACACAGTGGCTGTGTGGCTGGCTCTAGCTGTTTCAGTCTTTGCATGCGACAGCGCTTTTGGCTTTTGATATTCGAGGACATTTGGTTTTCAAAAGCATAACAACTTGGGCTCAGAAGTCCAGACTGCTTTTAATTGCGTTGATCACCATCGTTGTTGAGGCGGCTGGACTGGATCAGGTGGTGCTGTGTCTGTTTTTTCTGCAGCTGCAGTATCCTGCTGTATCTGTGCTATAAAAATATCTCGGAAATAACACTGCAGACGTTCATGGCTGACTGCGGAGGGTGCACCAAACAATTCGCAAACTGAGGGGTGCATGCTGCCGAGACCCCGTTTCAATATGGCAGCGTTTTGTCTGCAGCGTGTCCCACTGGTGCGTTTGACCGAAGAACACCTGACTGCTCCCAGTTTTCAATGTATACAAGTGTAGCACTGTCCGTTGGGCCATGATGCCACTCTGTCAGTGATCTTTGTTTTTCTGTGAAGAGTGCTTGCACATTCCTTATGGCATGTGGTTATTGTCTGTCTTGAAGGCACACAGTATTCTGATTCCACGGAAGCCATTAATTTGAGAAACCTGCTCCCTCTGCTGATGTTACTAGCAGCAAGTCTTCTTACTGTGGTGCACACGAACCCGGAAAGAGCTCAGATCCCATATCCCTCAGACTGTATAAACGGAGCCCCCTGCTCGTTTGGCTGAGGTATGACTGTTCAGAGTATTGCACAGGGCTCGGGGCATGTCTGTAAATGTTATACGTTTCCATTAGCAGCACACACTTAGCCCCCCTGATGGCTGATGCGGCTCATGCTGGCTCACTGCTGTGCAGCCCCTGATCTGTCCTTTTCTTTTCTTGCAGAACTCAATTCGGCACAATCTGTCCCTGAACAAGTGTTTCCTCAAAGTGCCTCGCTCTAAAGATGACCCAGGGAAGGTGAGTGCTTTTACTTGCATTTTATTGCAGGTGCATTATCTCCATAGTGAGATGAATTGTTTGTGTGTCCGTAGAGTGTTTTTTTTCTTTAAAAGGTTGGCTCGCGTCAAAACTGTATTTACCTACAAAAAAGTACAACAAAAAGTATTACACGAAGTATAGCATTGGCAACATCTTGATCTTTCAGGGAAAGCTTGTCAGCTTTTCCCCTTACTTCGAACTTCAGCTCATTTCCTGTACTTGGAAAAGAGCTGTTCGGCATTTGCTGTTTTATAATCTGAAGGAGATGGAAATGAGGAGCCTGTGCAGGAGGTTAATTGTGGTATTTATCATGGGTAATTAAAAATAATTTCTATCCGGTAAATTATAGCTTGTATCATTTTTCTTATATTTAAGTGTGTTACATTTTAGAGACAATGGGAATCTAAGATTGAAAAGCTTAGACATGGGGTACATGTATATCCAGGCCAATTTGTAGCATGTTCTGAAGAGATGGGGTGCAGTCCTCTTCAGTGTAGTGCTGGTATTATACGTGGGTGATCACATGACTATTGGGTTAGCCACATTTCATAGGCTCCTCTCTCACGTCTCCGTTATCACTGTGATCGATCGGATTCGATTAGGTTCCTGACAGGCAACATTCACCATCTCTTCATATTATTCCTTCTGCCAGTGATACTCAGACTCCAAGAACAGTCCTTTATTTACATACTGGAAAGAGTACGGTATTGCGTTCAGTCAGATGACAAAGACTCCATGCAGACAGTGAACTGAAAACAAAGACCAGTTCCATTATTAACAGTACCAAGTGCAGATGACTAGAGCAACATTAAGTCACAGAGCGTACACAGGGATGACAATAAAAATATATTTGGAAAACTAATAAATGATGTACTTTAGGCCTTAATCGTACAGTTTACTGTGAACTTTAAAATTTGCCATTTAATAGATCGTGAACAAAAGACACTACTCAGTATAAACAGCAACTGACCAAAACTAACTGATCAAACCAGTATTACCATTGCAAAGCTCGTGAGCATCACATCGTCCAGTCTGTGAGAAGCAGGCCTGTACCTTCAGCTCCTCCGTCATTCTCATCCTCATCTTCCATGTGTGTTCTTGTGGGGGGGGAAAATCAGATTGCTCCACCTCTGTGTGGATGCTCTCCGCTGGCTGACGAACTCATTTGCTCATGTCCTTTTCGGTGCCATTTAAAGGTGATCCATTATAAGCCCTTAATCAGCATATTTCACTATGACTTTGAGGCAATGTAGCTAACACCTAGCTGACTTCTAACCTATTGTCATGTGATGCTTAATTAGATTATGCTAATATTGTGCAAGGCTCCATTGCACAGAATTGAAAAAGTGTACGTCTAAGTCTTTGTCTTTTGCCCATGCTGTGGGTCTGCATCTGTACTTGCAGCACAGTATTATACAGCAGTTTAGTGTAATGGTAATTTACTGTGAACAAAGTTGCTTATGCTCAGCTGTGAGTGAGTCATTTCCCAAAAGCATTTTTATATCCAACTAATATGATGACCATCAAAAATCTCTGTCCATATTATGTCAGTTTACTACTAAAATAAGCCTATAGATTTTATATATTCATTAAAGGTGTTGGTCTTTTGAGCAATTGATCAGTCAAATGGAACATGACTTTCTTGAATAGGCTGTGAATCACTTTCAGAGTGAAAATAGTTGACTGGGTGTGTGAGATGTGGTGTTATGACTTGTTGAATGTCAAGCCTGGTTCAGATTAATATAGAAAGACACAAATGAATCAGTATGACCTTCTAATCGGGAGGACAATGCTTTAGTGACATTGCTATGTTGGACTAATTCAGCACACTATTGCTTGCCTTTTTAGGTGTTCACGGCCAGAAATGTATAATCTCATAAAATGTTGCAGCCACAATATAGTACATCAATAATAGGTTACGGTCTGGGTGACCACAAGTCATGATACAGGAGGCACAATGAAGAGATTCAGGTTTGTTGGGCAGGATTGTCCTTTCCTTAAAGAATTCCGGGCTTTCAACCTGATTGCAGAGCACTCGGTTGATCAGGTCCTTAAACTGAGCACTTATCCAGATCTGACAATATTCCAGTAGGACAACACACGTTTTTATACTGCCAGTGCAGTAAACAGCCTTATTGCAAGATGAGAATGTGACATGATGTGTCGTGGGTGCCTCACTCTCCAGACCTGAGCCCCATCAAACATGTGTGGGATGAGCTGGGGTCATGTGTAGCATCTAGGGCTGAGAGGCCAGTGAACAGACATGCGTTGTTCTGGCTCTGCAACAGGAAAGAGACAAAATCCCCCAAGACAGCATCTGCAACCTGGTACCAAGCATGAAGCACAGACTTTGCAAGTTGCAACCACTGCTAGGCTTGGCTTTGACAGTGTGGACCCCTGTGGAGGACGCATGGTGAGCAGCATAATGAATTTACCTGTGTCATGTCTGTTCGATAATCAGTGTGCCCGCTGTGAAAAGGGCTTTCTGATCTCTTTGTGAATCTGTTGCTGTTATAAATGAGGCTTCCTTTGATGGGCAGTATATTTTAGTTAAATTGTCTTTTAGGTTTATTTTAATGGGACTTATTTTAATCGAAACCCTAAAGTGTTGTCTTTGCCTCCAGGGAGTGACGAGCTCATTTTTTCCTGCGAGTTGGTTGTGTTCTGGGAATGGGTTTCCTGATCTCCTGCCACACTGGGGGAAATATTCCTTGTTCTTGGGTGCTTCAGCTACTCAGTGGTGATGCAGCAGTAGAGGCAGGTTTGGTTGGCTGGCAGTACTGGAGCTAAGAAGATGGTTATTTAGTGCTGCTGGCCTCCCCAGTCCCTGCACTGGGGGTGTGTGTGGGCTGTCCGCTTTGGACAAGTGGGGTCCGCCAGGCCAGGGAGGGGACTTCCAGAGGCCGGGGAGCACTAAGAAACCCCATGAAAGCGTTGAGCTTGGCCCCAGAATACCGCTGGATGCGGGGGTAGGGGGTGGGAGGGACTGCTGCCGAGGTAGGGTTGGTGGGTTAGGGGAGGCAGGAGAAATGAGTTGGAAAGGGATCGCTCTTTGTTTTTTTTATCTCGTTTTCTTCTCCTTTTTCCCCCCCAAAAAAGAAAGATTCACAAAATGAGGCGGGGGTCCTCTCCAACACCCTGAGAAGCACTGTATCATAGACAGGCTAAACACGCTGCCCGATTCAGGACGGTGTCAGGCTGCGCTGTGTTTAGTCCGTCTCATGAGATGACAGCCTGAGATAGTTAGGGCTGGATTTCACTGATTCTTACAGTTGGCCATCAGTGGGTTTCTTCTTGCCTGGACAGCAGGCCCCGGTACGGAAGCACTGCTACACATACAGAGAGCTGACTAGGTTTGCTTTTGAGCACAGTGCCTATCACAATCACTCAGGGTTTTTTTTCTGAACTAGACCCATTGCTAATTAGCACGTTAGGATATTTATTCTAAATCCCCATGAAGTTTCCTTTGTTCTTATGAGCTATTTTAAAATTAATTCTGCAAATACTATATATTTGTACTTTTCTATCTGTGTAATGTTTACAGTATATTAGTGCGTTTGTCTTGCCTTTTCATAATATTTATGCTGTTTTTTGCATGTCTGTCAACACCTATGTTATGTGTGTACGTGGAAACAAGTTTCAACTAGCAATAATAAGTACATATAAAAATATGTTCACAGAATGCTAATTTGGTGTTTTGCTGTAATCCTCTGATATTGACACTACTGGGAACTGTTCTGCTAAATAAAAAATTATCTGTTGCGGTATGGATTCAATTTAAGTTTCAAAGCCAATATGCTTGCATCCATAATGTTCAATTTCTAGCCCTTCTCCCTCCCCTTCCCCAAAGAAAACTTCAAAGGATCACTCCGAGAACCCAGAGGTCTTGGTATTTTGCTGCATTTTTTATTTTTTTTAATATAAAATAAAATATTTAAAAAAATAATGAAAAATATGCGCTAGGGAAAGGCAGAACTGCATTTCCTTACAGATTCCTGCACAGCCTGGATGCGGTACCAGAAATCTCTCTGCTTTCAGAGGCACAATCTGAGCTTGTCGGTATCCTGCCTGAGATCGGTGTCATCCTGCGGGTTGGGAGGTCGGACCCGTGCCCGGGCTGCGCAGTGCCCTGCCGGAGGAGTGGGCTCTCCGCACATCCGGGGGCAGCCCTGTTTATACTTCCGCCACCCTCTGCATTCCAGAGCTCTCAATCATCCTGCAGGTTACCAGCGCAGTCCTGGGCTTTGTTCCGGCTCTGCAACCTGATATCCCTCTGCGCTTCACCAGAGTCTTCAATCCCAACTCCAGCTGATTAGCTGTTGAAAACCTTTAAGCAGTGTTTCAAACCAGACGGCTTGTATAGGTCACATTGTATCACTTAAGTGTCAAAGGCTTTTCTGTTTAGGGTTTGTTCTTCCTAGACGTTGTCTGTGTTTTTTCTGGCTTTTGAATGCTTGAATTGTTTTCTCTTAGAGGCTGGTGTGTTAACGCACAGCACACTGCAATACCTTAATTGTATAATCATGTTCAGTGCCCCTTTCCCAAATTGTTTACCACCATGTGACATCCCTTCTCCTACTCTTCTTCCTTACTGTGGAAGTGTTTCTGAGGACACAGCAGCGAAATTAGAGCCATTCTGTTTGGGTGAGTAAATATACTGCACGCGGCAGTGTAAGGCTCTGCTTCGTGCTGAATAATTGAAGAGAAAACCGTTAAAAGGGCTTCGTTATCCCAGCGTAAGCCCTTGAAGACAGAGGGAAAAGCAGCAACCGGAGAATGCGTGTCCCAGGGGTGGGTGCTTAAAGACAGCCTTACTGATTAAAGGAAGCGCCACACGACCCAGTTTATGGTGCAGCAGCGCCAGAAAAAAGGACTTCATTCAAAAGCAGTCGGATCTTCCGATCGAATTGATGAGCTCCTTTCAATTAGTGTCGTTTTTTTCCTCACCTCAAATTGTCCTTTAGGTTCCTTTAGGTTTT